TAGGGGTCAGTAAGGGTTCCCTCATCATAGGAACCAATACTGATCTTGTCAGAAGACTGTTGACGCCTGTTGTTCTGGAGTCAGACACTTCAACTACAAGTGTGCACCCCATGTTGAGACAGGCCTATCAGCGCCTGGTGCAAGAACAGAAGGCTCCAGCTGAAGGAGTGGGGAAGATCTGACGTTTGGACCGAAGGGAGAAGGTGTTACAGCCTGGTGAAGTGGCTTGTTTACAAGCGTCCGTCAAGTTGAACTGGAAGCAACCAGGCCCTTTCATTGTCGTCGAGGCAGATGGCCAGAGGAAAGGTTCGGGAGTAGAGATAATTCCTGAAGTTGTTTCAACTAAAGCGTTACAAAGAAGTCATGGAAAAATCTCAGTTAGTGTCTGCAACATAACGGCCTTACCTGTGAAGATGCCAGCACGGATGTTGTTGGGACAAGTTAACCCAGGCACCCCAGTCTCACTATCTGATTTGGTGGGGGAAGAGAAAGATGGGATCCCTGCCAAGGAATTTTATCTGGAAAATTCTCCCCCTTCCACCTGAATGGAAGGAAAGGGCCAAGGCTCAGCTTCAGGGATGGAAGGTTGCATTCTCCAAGAGTGAATTCGATGTGGGATGTGCAAAAAGTGCCAAACACCGAATACGTCTTAAAGAGGATAAGCCATTCAGGGAGAGAGTTCGACGGATTCCTTTAGGGGACTTGGAAGACCTGCGTGAGCAACTGGCAGAGTTGAAAGGGGCAGGTATAATCCGAGAGTCCCGGAGTCCATATGCTTCTCCAATAGTGGTGGTACGGAAGAAGAATGGTGCATTGAGGCTGTGTATTGATTATCGGACGCTGAACAGGAGGACCATTCCTGACCAATACACCACCCCAAGAATAGAAGACGCTTTGCAGAGTCTATCAGGGGCCAAGTGGTTTAGCGTGTTGGATTTGAAGAGCGGATACTATCAAATTCCCATGCACCCTGAAGACCGAGAGAAGACCGCTTTTATTACCCCGGTGGGGTTCTTTGAATTCGACCGCATGCCACAAGGCCTGTCCGGTGCCCCAGCCACTTTCCAGAGGTTAATGGAGAAGACGGTTGGAGACATGAACCTGATAGAGGTATTGGTGTACCTAGATGATATCATTGTCTTTGGCAAGACTCTGGAGGAGCACGAAGAGCGTCTAGAGAAGGTACTGAAGAGACTCCATGATGAGGGGTTGAAGTTATCCCTGGAGAAGTGCCAGTTCTATCAACCCTCGGTTAACTACCTTGGCCATATTGTGTCTGCTGATGGAGTGGCCACCGACCCCCAGAAGCTAGAGGCCGTCACTTCCTGGCCAAGGCCTACTAATGTGACCGAACTTAGGTCATTTCTAGGATTCTGTTCCTACTACAGAAGATTTGTTGAGGGATTCGCTAAAACAGCTCGCCCACTCAACGAACTACTGAAGAGTGGAGAGGAAGACGATGACCCTGATCTGCCAAAACCTGTTCGATCAGCTGGAGGTCCTAGGAAACCAAGAGAGTCCATTCAAGAACAGTGGACTGCTCAGTGTGAAGAGGCTTTCAGACAGCTGAAGTGGAATCTAACCACTGCTCCAGTTCTAGCCTATGCAGACCCAACCAAGCCATACGAGCTGCATGTTGATGCTAGCAGAGATGGGTTGGGCGGGGTGCTGTATCAAGAGCATGACGGCACCTTCGGCCTGTTGCCTATGTGTGAGTCGGAGCTTGGCACCCACTGAAAAGAACTATCCCACACACAAGCTCGAATTTCTGGCTCTAAAGTGGGCAGTAGTGGATAAGCTGAGAGATTACTTGTACGGTGCTGAATTTGTGATCAAGACCGACAATAACCCTCTCACCTATATCCTCACTACGGTGCAGTTAGATGCACAGGTCACAGATGGCTGGCTGCCTTATCTGAATTCACTTTCAGTCTGAAATATCGACCAGGAGTTGGAAACAAAGATGCGGATGCATTGTCAAGAAGGCCTCATTGTTCCAGGGACTATACTGAAGAATGGACTCAGCTGACTCCCGAAGGGGTACAAGCCTTATGTCAAGGAGCAGAACACCAAGCTGGAGGAGGATCCAGGGCCAAAGACCTTGGAGTGTCAGCCGCTGGTGTTCCCAGATGTTACTGCAACGTCACCCAAGTCGGGGATGAAGGCCTGCCAAAACTCTCCAAGAAAGACTTGCGAAGGGATCAGTTGGAAGACCCTCTCTGTAGCTTGGCATTGAAAGCCTTGGAGAGCCAATGCCCTGACTTGCTCCTCACTGACTCCCTTAAGGAAGCCCGTCTACTACACCGAGAGTGGGATCGGTTGCAGTTGCACCAAGGGGTGGGTCTACCGAAGGGGCCCCTCTGGAGATCCTGGAGAAAGATGGCAGTTGTTCCTGCCAGAAAAACACAGAGAGACAGTATTAACTGCTTTGCACGATAGTCATGGTCACTTAGGACCCGACAGGACCTTCCACCTGGTGAGGGACAGATTCTACTGGCCCTGCATGCGAGCTGAAGTTGAGGGTTACTGTCACTCCTGCATTAGGTGCATCCAAAGGAAGACTTTGCCTCACCGAGCTGCCCCAATGGGCCACCTTCAGAGTCAGGGACCCATGGAGCTGGTATGCATTGATTTTCTAAGCTTGGAGCCTGATTTGAGTGGACAGGGAAATATCCTAGTAGTAACTGATCACTTCACTAGGTATGCCCAGGCTTTTCCCACGAGAGACCAACAAGCACCCGGTGGCCAAGATCTTGGTGGAAAAATTCTTTGTGCACTATGGTCTACCTCAACGCATCCATTCTGATCAAGGGCGAGACTTTGAAAGTAGTCTCATCAAGAAACTGTTAGATCTTTTGGGCATCAGGAAGTCTAGAACCACCCCATACCATCCTCAGGGAGATCCCCAACCAGAGAGATTCAACAGAACCCTCTTGGATATGCTTGGGACTCTGACTTCTGAGAAAAAGCAGCACTGGAGCAAGCACATAGCAGCTATCGTGCATGCTTATAATAGCACCACAAACGATGCCACAGGATACTCTCCCTATCGTCTGATGTTCGGGCGCGAGGCCCGGCTGCCAGTAGATTTGGCTTTTGGCACGTCCATAGACCGTACCTCTGCAACCTCACACAGAGGATATGTGGACCGCCTGCGGAAAAGTCTGAAGGCTGCCTATGACAAGGCCCAAGCTGCCTCAGATGCCCGAGGACAGAGAAATAAAAGAAACTTTGACCTCCGGGTGCGAGTGCAGGACTTACAGCCGGGTGACAAGGTGCTGCTGAGAAACCTGGGTGTTCCTGGAAGACACAAATTGGCTGACCGGTGGAAATCGCAGCCCTATGTCATCTGCAAACAGCTGCCAGGACTCCCAGTGTACCAGATCCGGCCAGAGGGAAGCACAGGCCCGCTGAAAACTTGGCATCGTAATGTCAGGAATGGACTGGCCAGCTATGGTGGGACTCACCTGCCTTTTGATCTGCAGTACCAGGGCTGGCCAGCGGGTGTTTCCCAGCAATCAGAGACTCAACTTTGCAGCCAGCTAACACCTGTAACTGATTATGCTGGGGTATTTAAGGGATGGCCAGACCCACAGACTCTGCCTTGGTGTGTGTTTTGTCCTGGGCCCTGCATCCTGTTTCTGTCCTGCATCCTGTTTCTGTCCTGAATCCTGTTTCTGAACCGCTGCTGACTTCTCCTGCTCTGATCCCGGCTCGCTCCTGACCATCCCTCTGTCTGACCCTCTGTAACGCGCTGCTTGCTACCTGTTCTGATCCCTGGCTTGTGACCCCGACCAATCTCCGCTTGCTCCCCCTGTACCTACCTGCCCTATTGATATTGACCCGGCCTGCCTGACGACGCTTGCTTGTATGTACTGTTATCTGTGGGTGGTTTGGTTTGGTTTGTTTGCACTGTATTATGTTTTAGTATTGCACTGCGTTTATGTTTGTATTGTTAGTGTTAATAAATTATATTGTTTATAACATATCTGAGGTCTGCGTTTCCCTGCGTCAGTCACACATCTCTGGTCACACCTGGGAGCCCTGACATTACACCAAGGCCAATCCTGACCAGAAAGTGGCTGCACAGGGAAGCCATCTTGGCTTGTTGATGGGAAGGATGGATCTGGATGAGGTTGAGTATTTATCTCTGCTAGTGCTTGATGACAGAGAGTATGCTTATCAGACTCTGAAGGAGTATCCCAGGGATCAACTACTAGAATGTATATGGCTCGCTCATGTTCTAGTAGATCAGGGCACAGATTTCTCTATGGTGCAGCCATTGATTCAGGTTTGTGTTGAGTTGGTTTCATCTGGTTCCCCGAATGCAGGGATGAATTTTTGCCACCATTTAGTGCAGACCAGGTTGAGTCCCTGGTGTGGTTATTAGAGGATAATGTGGGTTACTTTCTGGAGCGTTATTCCACATGTTTCACCACAGACACTAAGAGATTGTATAAACGCAGTGCAGTCATTGACCAGACAGGCTTTGTGTAAGCTCAGCTTTGTTCAACCCATACTGCAGACATGGACAGACTTGTTGCACCCAGCCCCAGCCTCAGTCAGCTTACAAAGACCCAGTCCTGCTTCTAACTCTACTCCTGTATTCCCACCAGCTCCTCCAGTTACAGCCCAGTATACTTGGCTATCTACCGCATGTCAGTACCCTGTTCCCACTCGCTGCACCTATCCTGCCTTTAACCCTGTAAAAAAGCCCTCTGTAGCAACTGCTCCCTCTCCTGTTCCATCCTCCAGTTTTTCTCTGTCTCCAGCTGCTCCATTCGTTTGCAGACCTGCGTTTACTTGCAGTGCTCCAGTAGTTAAAACCAGAAAAAAGCGAAAATTCTTTCCAACCAATACCATCCTGCCAGTACCCAAACCGGTGAACCTGCCTTCCGTGACTCAGCCTGAAGCCTCTACTCAGCCGGATGCCTCTCTTCAGCCGGATGCCTCTCTTCAGCCGGATGCCTCTCCTCAGCCTGATGCCTCTCCTCAGCCTGAAGCCTCTCCTCAGCCTGAAGCCTCTCCTCAGCCTGATGCCTCTCCTCAGCCTGATGCCTCTCCTCAGCCTGATGCCTCTCCTCAGCCTGAAGCCTCTCCTCAGCCTGAAGCCTCTACTCAGCCTGATGCCTGCATTCAGCTACTCAGCATGATGAACTGATCCAGCCCGACGATCCTATTAGGCCAGTTGACTCGATGCCCGCTGTTGATCCAGATGATCCGGTACCTGATCCAGTGCCCGCTGTCGTGCCAAGTGACTCAGAGCCCGCTGTCATACCCGGTGACCCGGTGCCCACTGCCTTGCCAGATGATGCGGTGCCCGCTGGCAAGCCAAATGACCTGATGCCTGGTGACCCAGTGCCCGCTGTCATACCTGGTGACCCGATGCCCGCTGTCGAGCCAGACAATCCGATACCTGATGACCCGGTGCCCACTGTCGTGCCTGTTGACTCGGTGCCCGCTGTTCCGCCAGTCGACTCGGTGCCCGTAGTCTTGCCAGACGACTCGGTGCCCGCAGTCTTGCCAGACGACTCGGTGCCCGCAGCCTTGCCAGACGACTCGGTGCCCGCAGTCTTGCTAGACGACTCAGTGCCCGCAGTCTTGCCAGATGACTCGGTGCCCGCAGCCTTGCCAGACGACTCGGTGCCCGCAGTCTTGCCAGACGACTCGGTGCCCGCAGTCTTGCCAGACGACTCGGTGCCCGCAGTCTTGCCAGACGACTCGGTGCCCGCTGTTCCGCCAGTTGACTCGGTGCCCGCAGTCTTGCCAGACGACTCGGTGCCCGCAGTCTTGCCAGACGACTCGGTGCCCGCAGTCTTGCCAGACGACTCGGTGCCCGCAGTCTTGCCAGACGACTCGGTGCCCGCAGTCTTGCCAGACGACTCGGTGCCTGCTGTTCCGCCAGTTGACTCGATGCCCGCTGTTCCGCCAGTTGACTCGGTGCCCGCAGTCTTGCCAGACGACTCGGTGCCCGCAGTCTTGCCAGACGACTCGGTGCCCGCAGTCTTGCCAGACGACTCGGTGCCCGCAGTCTTGCCAGACGACTCGGTGCCTGCTGTTCTGCCAGTTGACTCGATGCCCGCTGTTCCGCCAGTTGACTCGGTGCCCGCAGTCTTGCCAGACGACTCGGTGCCTGCTGTTCCGCCAGTTGACTCGATGCCCGCTGTTCCGCCAGTTGACTCGGTGCCCGCAGTCTTGCCAGACGACTCGGTGCCCGCAGTCTTGCCAGGCGACTCGGTGCCCGCAGTCTTGCCAGACGACTCGGTGCCCGCAGTCTTGCCAGACGACTCGGTGCCCGCAGTCTTGCCAGACGACTCGGTGCCCGCTGTTCCGCCAGTTGACTCGGTGCCCGCAGTCTTGCCAGACGACTCGGTGCCTGCTGTTCCGCCAGTTGACTCGATGCCCGCTGTTCCGCCAGTTGACTCGGTGCCCGCAGTCTTGCCAGACGACTCGGTGCCCGCAGTCTTGCTAGACGACTCGGTGCCCGCAGTCTTGCCAGGCGACTCGGTGCCCGCAGTCTTGCCAGACGACTCGGTGCCCGCAGTCTTGCCAGACGACTCGGTGCCCGCAGTCTTGCCAGACGACTCGGTGCCCGCAGCCTTGCCAGACGACTCGGTGCCCCCAGTCCCACCAGTTGACTCGATGCCCGCTGTTCCGCCAGTTGCCTCGGTGCCCGCAGTCTTGCCAGACGACTCGGTGCCCGCTGTTCCGCCAGTCGACTCGGTGCCCGCTGTTCCGTCAGTTGACTCGGTGCCCGCAGTCTTGCCAGACGACTCGGTGCCCACTGTCGTGCCTGGTGACTCGGTGCCCGCCGCTTCGTCTGGGGGCCCGAGACCTGTTGCTCCGCCTGAGGGCTCGAGACCTGTCGCTCCATCTGGGGGTCCAGCGCCCGCCGCTCCGCCTGAGGGCCCAAGACCTGTAGCTCCGCCTGGGGGTCCGGCGCCCGCCGCTCCGCCTGGGGGTCCGGCGCCCGCCGCTCCGCCTGGGGGCCCGATGCCTGTCGCCCCGCCTGGGGGCCCGATGCCTGTCGCCCCGCCTGGGGGTCCGAGGCCTGTCGCCCCGCCTGGGGGTCCGAGGCCTGTCGCCCCGCCTGGGGGTCCGATGCCTGTCGCCCCGCCTGGGGGTCCGATGCCTGTCGCCCCGCCTGGGGGTCCGATGCCTGTCGCCCCGCCTGGGGGTCCGGCGCCCGCCGCTCCGCCTGAGGGCCCGAGACCTGTAGTTCCGCCTGGGGGTCCGGCGCCCGCCGCTCCGCCTGGGGGCCCGGTGCCTGTCGCCCCGCCCGGGGGCCCGGTGCCTGTCACTCCGCCTGGTGGCCCGCTGCCTGCTGCTTCGCCTGGTAGCCCGATGTGCCTCTGCCCGGAGTCCGGCCCGATGTGCCTCTGCCCGGAGTCCGGCCCGATGTGCCTCTGCCCGGAGTCCAGCCCGATGTGCCTCTGCCCGGAGTCCAGCCCGATGTGCCTCTGCCCGGAGTCCAGCCCGATGTGCCTCTGCCCGGAGTCCAGCCCGATGTGCCTCTGCCCGGTGTACCGCTGCCCGGAGTCCTGCCCGGTGTGCCAGTCTTTGATATCCCGCCAGTTACCAGACCCGGGCGGTGGAACATTTTTCCCAGCTAGGACTGTTTGGAGCGTCCTGAGGCCGCTCCTTGAGGGGGGGGTACTGTCAGGAATGGACTGGCCAGCTATGGTGGGACTCACCTGCCTTTTGATCTGCAGTACCAGGGCTGGCCAGCGGGTGTTCCCAGCAATCAGAGACTCAACTTTGCAGCCAGCTAACACCTGTAACTGATTATGCTGGGGTATTTAAGGGATGGCCAGACCCACAGACTCTGCCTTGGTGTGTGTTTGTCCTGGGCCCTGCATCCTGTTTCTGTCCTGCATCCTGTTTCTGTCCTGCATCCTGTTTCTGAACCGCTGCTGACTTCTCCTGCTCTGATCCCGGCTCGCTCCTGACCATCCCTCTGTCTGACCCTCTGTAACACGCTGCTTGCTACCTGTGCTTTCTGATCCCTGGCTTGTGACCCCGACCAATCTCCGCTTGCTCCCCCTGTACCTACCTGCCCTATTGATATTGACCCGGCCTGCCTGACGACGCTTGCTTGTATGTACTGTTATCTGTGGGTGGTTTGGTTTGGTTTGTTTGCACTGTATTATGTTTTAGTATTGCACTGCGTTTATGTTTGTATTGTTAGTGTTAATAAATTATATTGTTTATAACATATCTGAGGTCTGCGTTTCCCTGCGTCAGTCACACATCTCTGGTCACACCTGGGAGCCCTGACACGTAATCATTTGTTGCCTCTATCTGAAGCAGTTCGTGTTCCACTACAGCCAGATCCACAGTCATCATCCAGGGCCCCCCAGAGATCTCGGCCAGTGACTCGGTTTCAGTCTTTGCTTCAGCCTGCAGAAGATGGAGACAGCGAAGATGAAGAGATGGGAATGGATTGGCTGTGGTTATCTCAGATGCCTGAATCTGCTATCCCTCCTTCTCCTTCCACAGTGATTGACACCGGGATACTCAGGCCCGATGCTCCTGTGTTTGTGCCTCGGAGTCCACTAATTGAAGAGCTGACAGACTCTCAATCCTCTTTGATGACAGCAGAACCTGCAGACTTTCCATCCTTTATTGAAGAGGAAGTTAGAGATGAAGCTAAAATGCAGGAAGAGGAGAAGGTTGATGATGAAGAAGAGACCCGTGTGCTTGCAACCCCAGAGCCTAAAGAACAGCGAGAGCGTAGGGTTATTCACCCACCAAAGAGACTAACATATGATACTTTGGGTGAGAGCTCTGAAGAGGTCATTCTCACTGCAAAAAGGACTCTTG